TACAGATTAAGCTTGCACAATATTCTTGGTAAAAGTTAAATCGATTATTATATAATGCTTTTAATAAATCTTTAGCAATATTTCATTTTTAAAATTCCCTCGTTAAATTTTATTGATTTTACAAGAAAAAGATATATTACCTAAATTTTAATAATAAAGAAAGAATGTAAAAAAAAATTATAAACGTGTCATAAAAAATAATTTACTGCGAGTATGATAATAATTAACAAATTCATAATATCGCTATTTAAAAATTTGTGTACTATAATTTCTAAAAAGTCGACCTAGAAATCAGTCATTGATGGCTGATAAATTCACCGGTGAATATATTCCGATTGTTTGTGATTCGTGCGCAATCGACATAACCGGCGATTCAGTCTCGCCACGAGATTCCAAGTTGAAATTGCTCGGTACGAGAATTGGAAGAGAGCTGTCGCAACGCGGGCGAACGTGTCCGAGGTGTGTACCGAGATATCGAGTGGTATCGTTTCCATGTAATAGGCAATACGTTATTGAGGCTCGGCCTCGAAATGCACTCGTATTCCCATGTTAATGCGAATTATCGAGCCGCCCCATTTCGCGGTTGGTACAAATGGTAAAGTTCGTGGAACGCACATCGACGGTCGACGTGGCCGTGTCGTGGAACCCGCGGGCATCGTTGCACTTTTGCGATCGACCGATCGATCGGCCTATCAATCGATCGGCCGTTTCGTCACGCCGATCGATCGCCGAGATCGATCTGGTATTGTTACACGTGTCGTCGCCTTTTGTCACGCCGCGGTGCACCGACAATTTTCTCTCTGCCAGATCTCTCTCGTTAGATATATTTCGGTCGAATTAATCCGCGATACCATCGATGGTCCCATCAATTCATAAAAAGCCTCAGATACAAAAGAAAGCAAACATTAACTTCGCATCAATCAAGAAGTAATTCTTTTTCTTTCATAATGTGTCTAATGCATTATTCCTGATTAAAAGATTTATAAAAGTATAAGTTGTATAAAGCATGTGTTATCGCAAAAAAAAAAAACTTAATACTGAAGTGATTGATTTGATTACGTTGTAATCAATATCATAAATACGTTTACTATGTCAACACTTTTGTTCTCACACTTCTCACTTATCATGCATTGCAACTATCCATTATCATCTCACCCGTCGTTATCCTTACCCCCTTTCTCGGGATGAGGTAATTGTGCGGGAGACGAGAATCGACGCGACATCCGGGCGACGACGAGATGGTACGCCGGTGGAATAGAAATGGCGGAATAAAAGGAGCCGCGAGAGAGATCAAGGTCAGCGGCGGCGAACGGAGCCAATTAGCCAGTCGTAGACTCGATTAGCCAGCCGGCGGAAGTGCTCCGAACCTACGCGTATAACGGGTCGAAGGATATACAGGCACCGTAAGTACTATACTTAAGCGGATAGCGAGTGTCCGTGTCCATTAACGTTTCTACAGCTGGCCGCTGATACTCTTTCCGAGATGCTTTTCCGCCTTTTCCTCTCCCGTTCGCTTCGCACGTGATCTGAGACAAGCGGAGAATAAATAGAGAGAGAGAGAGAGAAAGAGAGAGGGAAAGAGAAAAACAGAGAGAGAGCTTGCTGCGAATTTATCTTAGATTATAACGGTACTCGCTTCTGTTGAATATTTGCCGCTTAATCTTTTTGCATTAGCGTATTTTAACCTGATACTGAAAATAGTAAACAAATTACCCTATAAATAAAAATTTATAGGGTTTCATGTTATTCTTTTCACGCTTCTATATCTATATATATAGTTGAAAAATTTAATTTTTTCATATATTCATATATTTTTTCTCATTTTAGATAGGTAACAAACTTGAAAAGGCATAAAAATCAAGAATGAATCGAACAGAAAGACATTTTTTTTGTAGATAATAAAAATCATACGAATCATTATAGAAAATAATAATCTGTAATTAATTAACATTCTTCGAGCGTATATAATGTTACTAATTTCGTCAAATATGGTCCACGTGCGGCAGCGATATTCGATTTGCAGCTTTACCGTTTACTCTCACTACTTATCGAAACTGGTTTTCCCGCGTAAGTAAAAGCATCGATAAGTACATAAGGCGGCTTTTGTCGGATATATCGGAACTATTAACTCTCTCTCTCTCTCTCTTTTTAGACGGGATAACAACAGTGTATATAGCACGAGTAAATCGTAATCCTATTTCCGTTCGTGAGAATCCTGTAGAAAGTCCGTCTTTACGCTTCCAGGCTTTGTCCAGTGAATAATACCGGAGCAAATCGAGAGATGTTCGTTGGAATTAAAACGTGAGCCTGCGGATGTTCGGTGATCCTGGGCAAAGTGAGAGCTGTTATATAAAAGAGATTTTTTTTTCCTCTTTTCACGACTTTCCTTTGAGAAAAGCTCAAAAGCCGTGAAGAATCTATCGGAACGATATGCGACGATATACGACAATAGCATGAGCGGAAGCAAACAAACAGTTTAATTCTTTATTCGAAGATTAACGATGGTGCAATTCTGTCTTGTTATTATTTATCGGTTTTTCTCGGTATCTTTCTTGCGAAGATAGGAGCGCTCTGCGTAAACATCTTTAATTTCGGTGCAACATTTCTTGTGATGAATTGTTGTTTATAATTCGATTAAGCAATTGAAGTTTTAATCAAGGATATCACGGAGATACCACTTGTCTCAAACATAACAAAGAAACCTTACCAGAAAAAGAGTCAAAATAGCTATTCACTCCGTTTGTCTTAATCTAACGATATACAGCGCGACGCGCAAAAAGGAACACATCCGCGAGGAATGATCGTTAACTATCCTTAGCATCGAATCTTCTCCATTCCCATTAGCAGCAAACAACTATCTCTCTCTTTTTCTCGTAGCTAGAGAAACGGGCTAATCTCTCGAGGGGTTAAGCGATCGCTTATAGCGATTTTCTTAACCCTCCTCGCAAGATCCCTCGCCGGTCTGACACCCTTTTCCATCTCTTCCTCCTCGTCTGTTACCCTTAGCTGACGTGCGAGCCTGTGAGAGAGCGACGATCTATCATCCGAAATCAAGAGACTAGGTATTATAGCGTCTCGCGCCAAGTATAAAACAGTAATACAATTCCGTGACAGCGATACTATAGTATCCTTTATCGAAGTACTAGGCCTTTTCAGTAAGTTTCATAATAATAATCCTATTTTCGTAAAGTTTTTAAGTATACTTGAATTCTTTTATTTAATTTCAGTAATTTTTTCTACCATTAATTTATATATTTTTTTAATGATTGTTGTAAAAATTATTATTTTAATTAGTTTATTCATTAAATTTCGTTTTCTCGAAATAATTATTATTCGATCCTTCTTTAATTACCATTTTTACAAAAAATGGTTAGAGAAAAATATATTTGGCGCGTTTTTTTTTTACATCTTTGATGTCTTTTTTTTAGATTGAGACTGTACGCTTTCAACGAGAACAAATTGTCGCGATGAACGCCATATTGCCGGTTGCTTTATATTCGCTGATCCTTCGCGAGCAATGAGCGCGAACTATTAGCCCTTGTCGTAGCGCGTCACGTGCGTGCATCATTAGGCTTTCTTCGTCGCGAGGGAAGCGTCGCGACGCTTTCTTCATAAATGCGTTGAAAATCAACCGGTCCCCCTATCCAGATGATGCATACGACGCTCACCGAAATATTGCGACGTGCGTCTTTCGACGCTGGTGATGCTAATGTACGCGCGATATACAAGGTGTCCGGAATAATTGGATATTTTAAACATACACTCGTGTATAACATGTAATTCCCGAAATCATTTTTTACTTGTAAAAAATCTCGATACCCAAGTAATTATCATTTTCATTAATTTAAATTCTGGTATTTTAAAGATTGAAAAGAAATCGTCGTGATAATTGAGACACCCTATATATCAATGCGCGTCGGGAATCGTAAAAAATGATCCGTGCGATTTCGATTTAGCAATCTTGCTTTACATACGCGTTTAGCAATATGCTGATGTACAATGTGATATGAAAATATGATAGGTGAAAAATATAGGGGCGATAATAGCTCTTTTTTTCACTTCAATTTTATAGATTATGCCGTTAACTTTTTATATTAAAACGAGATATGGGGAGACTCGGAGTAACATTTCGCTCGAACACTTTCAAGATAATCTCTTACTTGATATAAATAGGCATCGTTTGAGCAGCGATAAATTCAAACGATTAACAAAATTAGCGCACGCGCAATACACACGAAGAACTTGCCGGTTAATTAATTCAGGAAGCCGCTTTTAATCGTCGACGCGGCCTCGAGGAAGCGCGAACGGGTATCCTCGCGAGTGTAATTCCGCTCGTAATAAACAGGAACGCGCGTGGTTATCGACACGGCGCGATCGCACGAGACGGTGTGTCTTGGGTTCTCCAGAGTTGCAATCGCACAAGCGCTCCCCCGTGCATAATATGCCAGACGATTTCTTTATTAAAACGATACGGCTGGCCAACGCCGTACATCACCGCGGCCAACTGGAAAAAAGACACGACACGTAGTGCGGTTGAATATTATTAGACCGTGGAGGATAAACGCGTGGAGGGTAAACGATCGCGCCCTGCAGATCCTCGTGAGATTGCTCCGCATCTTAAGGCCGATTTATACTATCCACTATTTAAACACACGTCCGTCACGTAATACAACACACACCATAAATCCAGTATTTCTCTTTTATAAAGTCTAAAATTTTCGCCTCCTGTCGCTTGATCTCTGATAAAAAATTAGAGCAGTTTTCCCTCAGCGCAAATTTAATAATAAGCCGTATTCTCATGAAATCCTCGAATCAAAAATTTTTTATAGCTTTCAATCAAGTTTTTGATTTAGAGGAAAAGATTTGAATTTTTTTCGCAAGTTAATCCTATTAAGAGATGTAACGACTGGTTCAATAAACTTTGGGAAGTTTATTGGACCAGTCGCGATTACCAGCTCGAAAAATTCGCGCACAGCGTGGCTAAAATGCGGGTGACTCACCGGTGAACGACTCCTTTCGAGTGCATGTGCTTGAGAGCGGCGACCAGCTGTCTGGCATAGAGCCTCGCCGTGTTCTCGTCCAGTTTACCGGCCGGCTGCTCCTTAATGTGCGTGCACAGGTCGCCGCCGGTCGCGAGTTCCGTCACGAGATAGTACACGGATCCGCACTGTAAGCAGGCGTTAAATTAAATCGTTATCGATCAGCATCGATAGCGTGAAGATATACGAGATACAACAGCGCAGGATATCCCGCAACTCTTTTTAGATTCACAGCTTCTTGGCCGTTTTGTTTTTCACTTTATATTTTATAGAAATTTAAGAGCTCGTTAAAATTATACCGAGCGAACTTATAAAACAATATTTTTCGCAAGAATTTTGTAAAATACATAGATTTGTATAATTATACGTGATTCTCTGGACCATCATTTTCTTGAACAGCTTTATGCAGGATGCAATTGAAATTTCTTCGTTACTATATTTCAACAAGAAATTACAAAAAAAAAAACAGAGCTTGCAGAGTATGATTCACGATGACGCGTTTGAAATTTATTAAACGACGACAACGTATCGTATTTCTCATCTTTTTGGTTGGCTCGCTGCTGAAGTACGGTCATACATTTTAGTCGCTGCGCTCGTGAAAATGGAGCAACAAGCAACGAGCTGGTGAGAGTCGGGAGACCGGTCGCGCGAAATTGATCGCGCCTATTTAAAATGCACTGAAGCGGAGGCGCATCGTAATTATCGAGAAAGCGTTTCCCAAATTTTGCGCGCGCTCGCGAGACACGCGAGCGTGGGCCTCGTCGATTAAGCGATTACCTTAATGCAACGATATGCATGCAGCAACGTCGACGGGGCCGCACGTGACCGAGGAATTACGGTCGGAGCGGATTCACCGCACCCGGTCAAATGGTGAGTCGATGTTCTCCGACATCGATGATTATTTTATTCCTCGCGGTCGGACACATCGGCGTGGCTCGGCTGCTTTAATCATAAATCACATGGATCACGAGAGCCGGATAAATATCGCACGCGCGTATCAGGGATCAAATATTAATTGCAAAGTCAGACGGGACGAAATTTCTAATTTTTATCACACATTAATTGCTTTGAAAAGTTATAATAAATTTTAATAATTTATCTTTACCGTGTGTGTGTGTGTGTGTGTGTGTTACATAAATTTTTTAATGAAAAGAAATATTAAAATATAATAAAAAAATTATGCCGCTTTTGTAGGAATTGTTAATGAAATATATTTATAATGAGAAATATTACTGTACATATATTTTATACAGAATTTGATAACTTTTAATGTAGATGAAATATTTTTGAGATAAAATTGTGTTTATCACGGGTTCTTTACCATGGGTCCTTTATCAGAATACTCGTTTGATTGTCAGGGGTGAACAATTGGTTAAGAAACAAGTCTCTGAAAAATATCGTTTCGCCTGATTTAAGCTTTATGCGACACGCTCTATTCGCTGCAATCGGGGGAGAACTTAAGCAATAGAAACCAAACGAGAACTCCTTTGAAAATACGGAGGCCACTTGTAAAGTCAATTCGCGAAAGATGCTGGTCTATCTCGTTTGGCAAGAATCGCCATTTCGTTTCGGCGGGGATTCGTTGATACATCCCACGTTTGTCAGTCGAATCAAGTTAAAATTGAAATCTCCGGATGGAACATGAATTTCGCGATTTCGATATCATCGAGTATAGGTAAAATAGAAATGTAAATTCGATGTAAATGACGGCGATAGAAAAAGAGCGTCAAACGTGAAATTCATTTCTCTGAGCAAAGAAGCGTATGTTGCTCACTTAACTCGCGTCAAAAAGGTGTGCATTAAATTAAGATCTCGAGTGGAATTTTAAGTAGGTTTTTTTAGCTCAAATTTAACGTACACATATTCTTAAATTCTGGTATCGTGAGATCTCTGGATTTCCATCTCTGAGTTTCCATCAAAATTTAAAATATCTCGTCCTTCGTTAAAAATTTATAGATTAAGTCACGCATTCTCCAGACCTTAGTTTTCTAATATGTCGTTTTTGTTATGCATCTGCGTTTAAACTGATTGCTTTTTTTATGATGTGATAAAAACGCTCTTGTACGAAATACTTCTGGCAAATCTCTGTAGTATTATTATTTAAGAGGCGTCATACTCCTCCAATGAGGCAACTCGAACTCGTTGTAGCAGCATGCTGCAGATGTGGTTGTCAACACGTTCATTTTTATAGCGATTTCGTCCCCCAAATGAAAGGAACGACGGCGTCGTTGGACGTCAGTAACAGACGAATCCTATGCGATTCATCGGCTCGTAACATTGGTACCGACATAAAATCGCGCGAATGGTGCGTTTACAGCCGCTGTAGGCCGACAATAATGACCTTAATTGGCGCTTAAAGCGGCTTTCCTCCAATATCCCAAGCATGAGTAACACGCTGACGGCTGAACATGCATCTTCGTAAAAATCAACAGGCGTAAATCTTTTCTTATTACATAAGAGTGATTCAGAAAGGCACACCTCTCATTCTGTAATTTATTATTTATTACATATTTGCAAATAAATAACTTAATTAAAAATATTTTCTCTTTATTGATTGTTATATAATCGCAATAATGTTTTAATAAATAATTAAGATTCGAATTTAATTGAGTGGAGCACAAGTTTGAATAATTTTTCTTGACATTTAGATATCTTCTAATTTTTAAATAGAAAATTGAATATATTATTAGTGCAAGAATATATAATACATAATTAATATTAATATTTTTTTAAATGAGAATAAATACTAGAAAAGCGTTACTTTTCGATATCAATTTTCCTCGCAAAAACGGACGATAATTTTGAATTCTTTCTGTATAGGATAGGCAATAAAATAAACAATGTAACAACTAGAAACATCGGAAACATCGATAACCCGTAAACGTCACGGCTTTGCCTAAAATGTTGGATATTGGAAAGCGCGCTTGCAATAACGCAGCTTTACGATATAAAAAATGATCACCGACCCATTGTCCTCACGGAGAATGAAATTTTGTTATTCTACGTTATGTACGTTATATCCTACCATGAATTTACAGTAAACTGAAATTTTTATTACCGCGCGTTTTTCACCATATATATATTGGAAATTATTCTTTATTACTATTTTTCGTTTCATCACATTTATGTAATTTTCTCTCTCTTTAATGACAGATCTTTATATGCCACACGCTGATATACATATAATGAAACAACTAATTGTAACAGAATTAATTACCCGCATATATGTAAATTGAATCTACAATTTTTTACAGTAAACTGAAATTTTTATTACCGCGCGTTTTTCACCATATATATTGGAAATTATTCTTTATTACTATTTTTCGTTTCATCACATTTATGTAATTTTCTCTCTCTTTAATGACAGATCTTTATATGCCACACGCTGATATACATATAATGAAACAACTAATTGTAACAGAATTAATTACCCGCATATATGTAAATTGAATCTACAATTTTTATATTAAATCAAAAGAGCAGCGAAGGCTCTACGTTCAACTAGAATAAATTATTCATAAATATGGAAATGCGGAAACTTGCGGTGAGCATGTTCGCGCGTTTGACTGTCAGCGCCATCAAAATCCAAACTCTATCAATAATTAATACAAGAGAGAGCGGTCATTTGCATACTCTATTAGCCGTGTGCAGCGCATCGTCGATAGCACGTTTTCGTCATCGATTGCTATTGTCGCGCAGTCACGTCACTGAGAAAGGACGACCCTAAGAAAAGCGAGTTGTTGGGAAAGCGGATATACTTTACGACGTTGATGCAGGCGCAGATGCTTCGAAGAATCCAGCAGAATCGGCAGTCGAAATACATTGTGCCGGGCACCCTAAGCGTGTCTCAACCATCGTAAAGATTACGACGTGGAAATGAGATATAAGGCGACGTCATATATAGCCAATTTGGCGACGGCGAGGAAGGCGAGGCGAAGTCTCGTCTCGATATTAGCATATTTGCCGTCAGGTGCGAGCATTCTCATCGCCAATAGCTCTTTCCCCTCGATGGAAAGCTTAAATAAAACAAGACGCACTCTTCTATCTGCACGTTTTATAAACGTATGGAGAAAGTAATATCATCTGCAAGACTATAAAATCATTTTTATCGAGAGAAAAAAATCGAACGGTGCCATCTCGAAATTCGTTCGTTCGTTCGTTTATGAAAGCTCGCGGAAATGAATCCTTTTTCCGTGAATATTTGCACATCCTGTTGCACATTCGTGTATTTGAGGTATATTGTCTGTTGACTGTTAAGGTATATTGACTGTTATTACAAAATGCAATGCACAAATTTTCCGTTATTTAAACGAAACTGTTAAAAAAACGATTATTGATATGAAAAAAATGCATGTTTATGTAATCGCGATAAATTGATTCAATTAAATTAATGCAAATGTTGATGAGAATCTTGTCTGGTGATTTTGTAGACGGATAAGAATCGGGGAAGACAGATTTTATAAACCTAGCAAACTGCGACAAGGAAATTTTCGTAAATTTTTCAGTCGCGTTGCTTTTGAAAGGAAGATGCACCGGCTATCATATGCAAGAAATGATTCCGGCAGCAGCATTCTGGCTGGAAAAATTTTACACACGTCTCCCCGGAGTCTCCCCGAGCACGGGTCGGTCGTCCCAGCTGCCCGTTCATCTCGCGTTGAAATATTTCGCAGAGCTCTGAAATTCTCGAATCGCGCGCACCCGGGTTATCTCGCCGGTCGCGTGCGTTTTCCCGTCATATTTTCCTACGTACTTTATCTTTCCCGGCGCGTACACTATACCCTCGTCCCCATAACTCGATCGTGACGAGCGAGCGCGCGGACTAACAAAATTTTCAGAGTAAACGAGGTGCGCGATGCTACGTCGCCGGTGGAGCCTCTGATATCGACGTCCCACACATGAATTCAATTACGTCGTACAAGCATACGAGAGTCCGCTCTCCCTGGCTTTTTTTCCTCTCCCTCGCGTACACCTTTATCATGTGCGTACGTTTGCGTACATGTATGCGCGTGTGTAGGCGAATCTGCGTGTTGGGTTTTCAACGCTCGCCGGGTATAACAGCCGGGTCACGTACGATAGCACTGCGCATTAATGATGCCAGTCTAGATTTCTTTTTGTATCGGCGTGGAAAAAATTGTAGCATAAAAAAATTATTTTCCGAGTTTGCACTTGCGAATTGAAATCGGTATAATATCGGTAAAATCAATTTCCGATGCTTGTCGTGGATATGAAAAAAAAAAACGCACTCTCCGTACTATTGTTACGAATAAAAACAAAAAACATTATTGATGCGGTATCGAAATTTGAATTTATCAAAAAAAAAATTACATATCCAGTTTCAATTTATTTATATTAGTGATGAAGTTGAAAGGTTCGAGGAAATCAAGATCGTGAGAATTTATCATTTTTCGTTCGAATCCGAAATTTATTGCGAAGTAAAACAGTTAAAGGGGTGAAAAGCTCTTCTACTTTTGATACGCATCCGGGTATCGGGTTCATAAATTCAGCTAAGTGGCGTGTAATTAAATCTAGAAAGATGGATCATCTCTCGGATGGCGTTAATGGACTCCGGTACTGACGAAATTTCAGGATACTCGCGATTTGTCATGGAACTCTGACGAACGTCATGTACCGAGACATGATCGAGGAAGCGTAGAATCTACGAGGGGGATAGTGCCTGTCACTAAAAGAGAAGTGCGCGAGACGAAACGGCATAGTTCTCTTTGAGGAATGAATAGATCGTTATACAAAAGTACAATGGGCGGCGCGACTGAATCTTGTTGATCGACCGTGGTGAATCGTCTTTGTTATTAAGGACTCGATTAAACTTTCGACGCGGTCAATTAGAGTAAAGAGATTTGATCAATCGTCGAAATTCTCTAAACTGATTGCGCCCTAAAGCGTCTCTCACTCACCCGGATAGTTTCATAGAGTCTCACGATGCTTGGATGCTGTAACATCGACAGCACCTTCGCCTCCCTCGTCAGGTTCTTCATCACGTAATCCTTCTTGCCCTGCTCGACATCTATTATCTTAATCGCCACCTGAAACAAGAAGCGAAGAGAGTCGCGTAATTAATCGAATGCGTGAGTTAATCTAAGCTATTATCTGGGAAAATGTCAAGAATACTTTTAATCTCTTAATTTTTACGCGATTTCATTACTATTAAGAATTTTAGATAAAAAGTAGTATTAAAAGTTAATTTTATTGATTAGTTTATTGATGATACTTTTATATGTATCATTCTTTCCAACTGTATTCATCTGCAGGATGTTAAAAATCTCTCTAGTAAATTAAGACTTACTGTGGCAGGTGAGTAAATAACGGGCATATGGAGCGTTGAAAAAAAATTTCACATCAATATGGCGCATCTCCGGTTGAATAAACGCTTTATTCGCGCGCGCGCGCGCACGCGGTGCTCTTCTTGAGAATATTTTCTCCTGAACGAAAAAACACGAGTGTGAGTTTATCCCCGGGGTTTTTAGGGATCAATCGTCTCGCATTCTCTCCTCGAATTGCACGGCAAATACCTTCCATATGCCTCCTAGAGGAGTCGCTTTTGCACGGTGCGTAGGGCGAAGGTGGCGAACAAGAATGAGAACGAAAGGGGGAGACTTAGGGGGGGAGAGAAGAAGAGGGATACCTTGGGACTCGAATATGTTAAGACAGCCGCGCGCTCCTTCACGGTCCCCTGTCCCTTTGATGTGCCGTAAAAGGCTGGAGGCGGTAATTCGCGCGAACCTAAGCGATTGAAATGGTGGACTCTGTCTCGTGCCTTTCGGCACCACGAGGGAGAAAACTGTAACGTTGAATTATATCAACGGTACGAAGGGTGCGTACGCGTGCGTACGCGTGCCGAATGCAAATTAACTCGCGAAAACTTGTACGCGTCACCGCACGAAAATCTCCTGTCAGTCGTTCCTCGTCCAAAGTTGTAGATGTGGGTGGCGAAAACATGAGGAAAAAAGGATGGCATCGATTTTTCAAAAATAAAAATTATACCTAAAAAATAAGAGAGGCATCAATTTTTCGAAAATAAAAATTATATCTAAAAAATAAAAGAGATTGGCGAAAGTTCATTATCGAAATATTAATTAAGAGAATGGAAACGCTAAAGTCCAAGTTTCCCCAGTGAACTTAACCCCTATTTTTGTTCTTTATTCAATATTTTAATTTTTATTGAGAAAGAACTGTTGGAAAGAATCTTTTACAGCGGTTTGTTTCGGGGGAGTCCAAATCTCGCGTCCTCGAGTTTCCAGTTTGCCCGGCAGCAGCGGGTCGCATATCATTAGCGGCATCGATGGTGCCGGCGTCCTTTGATCTTCCCCCTCTCTCTATCGCGAGTAAGAAAGAGATGCAAACGAACGAGGGAGAGGGAAAAAACAGAAGAGAGAAATAGAGGAAGAGGAGCGCCCCTGCTCCAAGATCGTTGGCGCAGTATCGAAGAAAGAGATGAAGAGAACACAACCCAGAGAAAGAGAGAAAGAGAAAAAAAGAGAGAGAGAGAGAGAGTAGGGGAGTTGCGTTGAGCACGAGGTATGCTTGACAGCCTCCCCAAATGATTTGTGGCGCTCTTCGCCAGATACAAGATACTAATTCTTTGGGCGCTGTCAGTCGACCAGCTACCGCTCACCACTGTCGACTCGCTCTTCCTCTCTCTCTATCTTTCTTTTCTCCCCTCTAAATTTCTCTTTCGCTTTATCTCTGTTTGCATTATATTACAACTTAGTCAATTGACGCGTCGTTTTTCGTCTCGTCGTTCTACATTACGATAGGTGCTCCTCTTTAAATGCTGCTGGATCGATCTTAACAGTCCTAAAATAATACGTCAAGAAATGTTCATAAATATGAATTTTATATGTAATTTTGTAAAATCTTTTTCTATTTGATTTATCTCTGTTCAATTTCCTTTTCTGATTTATTATTTCTATTTTCATTCCGCTATAACTTACAGTGAACTGATGTATTCGCTTTTTTTGTAAAATATTGAATCAATTTTAAATCGTAATAATTCATTGAAATATGTATATATATTATTTTTATAGTTTTTAAGGCTGCTTAAAATCTTTTCCTGCAATTTTCTCTTTTTCTTTTTCTCTCTTCTTCCTTAGCTCATTCCTGTTTGTATTATGTTACGCCTTAGTCAACTCTGATGCATCACTTTTCATCTCATCGTTCTATGTTACTACCCATCGTTATTTTCCGTAAATTTTCTAAACTATCGTGGTATGACGGATCGATTCGCTAAATTGAAAGTAAACTAATATCAGTAGTTTGTACGTCGCTAACGATTCTAGAAAGTAGGTTACGCTATGAACAAAATAGATACGTTACAAAAATGATAAATTTTTATATAATTACGCGAATATTTAATTGATAATTATATAAATTAGCTTTAATATTTAATTACCAGATAATGTGTATTGATTATCAATGGCTATTGTTTTTCCAGTATTTTTTATCTCACCTATGAATTTTTACGTTCTTCCCGTATCTTTGATGCAATTTTTTTCACGCAAGCAGGCTAGATTTATTACCAAATTTCGAGAATGCCACGGGAGTAATCCACGAGCATATTCATGGTGGTTTCTATCGGTTAATGTAACGCAGAAAATTTTCTTTGAAGCCGAGATAAAATGGGGTCGAGCGGGGCGACGGGGTCGCGAAGAGACGCAAATAAAGTAGTTCTATTTGCATGGGCGAGAGAACCGAGGAAAAGCGGAGTCGCGGAGCCGTAATAATGTTTGCGAATGCTACATTAAGGTATCCATTTTAGAGATCGCTTACTAACGAATGTTTCTGCGTGGGTCGAGATATACGAGCGAAACGCCGCGCGGTTATATCCCAGCGGCCGACCTGTCAAGCTCTCCTGCGGAGGATACAGACATATACATACATCGCGTGACACCGATACTCGTATACACGCGCATTCATGCCTCTCCAGTTCTGTATCATGATACGAAAGGATGCAAAGAGATTGTCGCTACAAACCACACATTGTACGGCTAAGCAGCGAAGCACGTAATGTTCAATTTTGTTCGAGATTGTAATTGGCTTGACACTTTTTTCTTTAATTTCGAATCAATTTAGAGACTTTAAAAAATGATATATGTGTATATATTTGTGACAGAGCAAGTAAAAAAAGGTCAAAGATGGTTCGGGACTATATTTATACTATAAATAATCTCAAGAAGGAATCTGTGTATGTATATGTGTGAATGTGTGTATAATTATGCTTGTTTATATTCAGTCGACTTGTATGAATTACGTCGTGTTTCATGGTAAACTTGTTAACATTTTTATTTTTTCTCGTTTAGTAATAGAATGTCATGTGTACGGAACAGCTTGACTTGGAGTAGTGCGTTTAAATAAATAAGTACACTTGTAATTAATTCATATTTCGATTCATTAATTGCATAATATAGGTACAGTGTTTAGCATTCTGTAATTTATCGAAGCTATTTTTATTTCGCGAGATTTCGATTTTAGCGCGCGAATATATTTGACATAATGATGGTCATATTTTCAGATGATTTTGTTATATTCTATAGAAATATTTATCATTTATAACAAATATAAATGACAAATATAAATGAAATATAAATTCCTTTAAAACATGAAAGAGACGACATATATTTTATAGCGCAAAAATATACAAAGAGAGGAACAGATGTAATATCACCGTGAAATTGGTCGCATGATTTTCGAAAAGTTTTTTCGCTATTCCAAAGTTTTCCAAGTTTTTTCAAATGTTTATTTTTTTAGAGCATACATATATCACATCGTCGACTTTTTGCCGATAAAACCTTTCCATTAGGTACATCTTGACGTTGGTGAGAGGGTTATGTACCTGGAAGGTTTTTTTCCTAAAAGAGAAGTTAAGTACCCAAACGGTTTTTTAACGGTTTCTTAAACTTTTCAGAAATTTCGCCCAATTCGATATTTCTTTTCGTTTTTTATCGATTATCTTATATTAGTTTGTGATATAATTTTTTATTTATAAGATTATTAAGATTTTTATCTTGTTACATCATATCAAGTATATATCAAGTATATCAATCTTTTTATCTTTTATTAGCTTATGTGTGTTATTTTATTTAATTTATGAATTCGTTCGTTGATTTATAATTTAGATTTATTTTATATAAAAAAAGAGTGTAAGGAAAATAAAATATCTTAATATATGACCTCTTTCTTTTTTTTTTAATTTTAAATATATAATTTTTTCGTAAGACATTTTAATAAGATTACACAAATTTTGCTACGCGTATTCAAATATAAACAAATGATCAATTTATAGTATAAAAACGGTACGAAAAAGGCATAAAGTTATTTCGCGGGCAAAGTTGATGGGATCGGATCATGACTACCGGGTGTCGTCCAGCCGTTATCATAAATGAGCTACCAATCGACTGGAGTTTGCGGCCCACTATATATCGGAACGGGAGCAGCAGCCGGCTTGCTCTTATAACTCTCGCGCAATTGGAGGGCCATAATTCGAAGCGAATAATTGACCGAATGGCGCGGCCGGTGGCGGTGTTTCAGAGGTTTACGGCCAGTGGCACGACCTCAATTTCGCTCCGGCAATCTCTGCCCGCCTGCCTGCTTGCCGAAAAGCCATGACCGTGTGAGAGGACTCTCCCGACATTCTCCGCGTTATCCTGGCCCAAATCCAAATCATCGATCGTAGACCGCGAACGGTCGGACGATCAACGGACGTGCGGTCTGTCATTAATACGGGGTACGGTGGATGGATCGCGGAAATCTCTTGCAGAAAATTAGCTACGTTAATGCGAACATCTTGGCGCTGCTCTATGTTCAATCTTTACAAAGGTGCGAATGATTTTGATGATAACGAAAATAGCGAGGGCTTATTGATATAGAGCTTCATGAATGATCTCACGAAAAATTACTCAAAGAAGATTAACAACATATGCTACGACAATATGTCCATCTTGATCTCCGTTCCTGATGAACTTTTATTCCGCAATAGTTTAAATAACTTTAGGTTTAGGATTTTAATCATGTTAAACGTATAAAATAC